CCACTCCAGTTTGTTTTCAGATTCTAAATTTCTCATCTGTGCCTCTCCTCATCTTCGTTAGTCATTGCCCTTCTTGTTGATATTTTTGCTTATAATCACCTGTTCTTTCAGACCATCTTTTACTGTGACTAAAATGATCTTTCTAAAGCGGATAAGATTATGGCGCCGGGCATGGTGGCTCGCGCTGGGCGTGGTGGCTCACGCCTGTAATCCCAGCACTTTGGAAGGCCGAGGTGGGCAGATCACCTGAAGTCAGGAGTTTTGAGAGCAGTCTGGCCAAGACGGTGAAACCCCATCTCTATTAAAAATAAAAAATTAGCCAGGCATGGTTTTGGGCACCTGTAATCCCAGCTACTCAGGAGGCTGAGGCAGGAAAATCACTTGAACCCAGGAGGCAAATGTTGCAGTGAGCAAAGATTACACCATTGCACTCCAGGCTGGATGACAGAGTGAGACTCCATCTCAAAAAAAAAGTATTATGTCACTATCCTGCTTGAAAATGTTTGGTGAGGCTGGACACAGTGGCTCATGCCTGTAATCCCAGCACTTTGGGAGGCAGAGGTGGGCAGATGAGTTTGAGACCAGCCTGGGCAGCATGGTGAAACTTCATTTCTACTTGAATAAAAAAAGAAAGAAAGAAAAAGCCAGGTGTGGTTGCACATGCCTGTGGTCCCAGCTAGTTGGGAGGCTGAGGTAGGAGGATCGCTTGAGCCAGGGGGTGGGGGTTAGAGGCTCCAGTGAGCCAAGGTCATGCCACTGCAGTTTAACCTGGGTGACAGAGTGAGACCCTGTCTCAAAAAAATAGATAGATAGATAGATAGATAGATAGATAGATAGATAAATATATATATATCTATATATAGATACACACACACACACACACACACACACACACACGTCGCTGGGTGCGGTGGCTCATGCTTGTAATCCCACCACTTTGGGAGGTCGAGGTGGGTGTATCACCTGAGGTCAGGAGTTTGAGACCAGCTTGGCCAACATGGAGAAACTCCGTCTCTACTAAAAATACAAAAACTCAGCTGGGTGTGGTGGTGCATGCCTGTAATCCCAGCTACTTGGGAGGCTGAGGCAGGAGAATTGCTTAAACTTGGGATGTAGAGGTTGCAGTGAGCACAGAGATTGCACCATTGCACTCCAGCCTGGGTAATAGAGTGAGACTTTGTCTCAAAAAAAAAAAAAAAAAAAAGTTGAGCTGGACAATAAAAGCACATCAGAAAGACACATTTACAAAACAATAAAATTTTAACGTTTCAAGATGAGTTAAAACACATTAAGAAAATTATACGAGCCATGGGAAAACCATGTAAAACAGAATTAGAAAAACTCAGAAATGAGAGGATAGTAAAAGTCACTTCACAATCTAGGGCCAGTTTACCTTATCATCAGCTCTTGCCGTTTTGTACCTCCTACCCCGTAATTTGACACATACCTCCTGTGGTGCCCTTTTCTTACAGATTTATAATGATTAGAGTGTCTTCCTTTCCTTGATTATAAACTCTTTGAGGCTTAAACCGAGTCTTCCTCCACCTTGTACTGCCAACATGTTCTTGGCATAGTTTACTTGGCATATTGTACTTCACAAATTTTAAGTATCCAGTACCTTTTTACCAAGTGAATGACTGAAGCTCTGTAATAAGATAGTAGGAGTCAAAATAAAAAGGATAGAATGAATGTGAAAGATGTTTGAAAAAAGGAATTGATGGGACTTGGTGACCGGATCAGGGATTTTTGATACTTGTTGGCCATGTCAGCCATAGACATGTCCACAAAACTTAGGAATGAGGAGAAGCTGGCTCAGTTGTGGAGTAAATGATAAGCTAAAGTTTAGATATGGCGAGTGGGAGGCATTGGTGAGACTCTTAGTGGATCTGCCCAGTGCACTGAACCTTGTAAGGTAACTGCAGAGAGACTAGATCATCTATCTATCTAATCCATCCAAAAGACTAGTATATAGGAAACCTGGCAGGCCCATTTGTTCCTGAATTGCTGTAATCTCAAATCTGTTAATCTCTTTCTTTGCAGCTTGGCTTGTGGAGATGTTGAAGGAAAGTTTGATATTTTATTCAATAGAGTTCGAGCAATTCAGAAGAAAAGTGGAAACTTTGATGTAAGACGTTTGTTTTTACTGAATTTAATTTTACCTTTGTAGTCATAAATAAAAATAAAGTTTGAGCTCCTTTAGGTCTTGATTGAATACATACTCACCATTTTTGTTAAATTGAGTTCCCTTCATGAGCATAGGAACTCAGGAGCTTCTGAGTGGTTGGGGGAGGGAGACCTGTTTACTATTTACTATTGACCTTTATGTTTTTTGAAGTTGAATCTTGTTACTTTATCACTGTACAAAAAAACTGAAAACAGACTAGCAACACTTCCCTAAGTGATTCTGACCCCTAGGTTTGTGAGGCACAGATCTATTTTATGAATGTGGTATGGGTTAAGTCAGATAACATACATGCCAGTGCTTCACGAGCTTAAGAGCCCTATATGAATGTTGTATATAGTTGCCAGCTAGACTGTAAACTCCTAAGAGTGCAGAAGAGAGTATTCCAAGTATGAGGATAATTTGTTCATTGGGTTAAAGGTTGAGTAAAGACAACAGGCAGGAAATGTGTTTTTTATGCCCTGTATTTCTAAGAGTTTCTAATATTTTAAATTTTTTTGTTTCACATGGGGATTCTTTAAAGATCTATTTCTCTGTGACTGTATATTCCAGGGAAGGATACGTGGAGAGAGCTGAGTGGTAGAGTGGGACTGGGAATATTTGAGGAGCACTTGAATTCTAACTTGTTTTACAAGTTTAGTTCCTTGACTCTCTCTTACCCATCTCTAACTTGAATTTGACAGCCAGAGAGCCAAAACTTAATAATTCGTAGAATCAGTAACTATTACAATTGCTGCTAAAGAATTGTATATTGAAATCTGCAAATGGATTGAGAATAAAAAACTGATTTGAAACTATTAAATAACTAATTAAATGTTACTATCAATTATGTACTGTTTGGTATTTTAAAATCTTATATATCTGTTTAAAAAACTCATTTTAGCTGCTGTTGTGTGTAGGAAATTTCTTTGGCTCCACCCCAGATGCTGAATGGGAGGAGTATAAGACTGGCATCAAGAAAGGTATAGAAATTATTTTTATTTAACATATGATTTCTAATAAAATTTCAAGGGCCACAGTTCTTTCTGAGTTGTTTTTCATTATTTAAGAATTTCCTGGCTGGGCGCTGTGGCTCATGCCTGTAATCCCAGCACTTTGGGAGGCCAAGGCAGGCGGATCACCTGAAGTCAGGAGTTCGAGACCAGCCTGGCCTACGTGATGCAACCCCGTCTCTACAAAAAATAGAAAAATTAGCTGGGCATGGTGGTGCACACCTGTAATCCCAGCTCCTCAGGAGATTGAGGGAGCAAAATTACCTGAACCGGGGAGGCAGGGTTTGCAGTGAGCCAAGATTGTGTCACTGCACTCCAGCTTGGGTGACAGAGCAAGGCTCTGTCCTCAAAAAGAAAAAAAAAAAGTTAAGCTACAAGGTTTTGTGTAGTATATCCTTAGTGGACAGCACTTCTGCATTTAGGATTGCTATGTGGGGAATGTGAATGCATAGACTATTTGCTATAATATATTTTTCTATAGAGAAGCATTTCTCAAGTTCTGAAGCAGATCTGATAACTGTATGGTGTCATGTCTGTTTCCTTCACTAGCTCCTATTCAGACATATGTGCTTGGTGCTAATAACCAGGAAACAGTAAAATATTTCCAGGATGCTGATGGATGTGAATTAGCTGAAAACATTACTTATCTGGGTAAGCTGATATTTCTTATATTTGTTTTGTTTTGTTTTTTTGAGATGGAGTCTTGCTCTGTTGGCCAGGCTGGAGTACAGTGGTGTAATCTTAGCTCACTGCAACCTTCACCTCCCATGTTCAAGTGATTCTCCTGCCTCAGCCTCCTGAATACCTGGGATTACAGGCACTTGCCACCACCACGCCTGGCTAATTTTTAGTATTTTTAGTTGAGATGGGGTTTCACTGTGTTAGCCAGGATGGTCTTGATCTCCTGACCTCGTGATCTACCCACTTTGGCCTCCCAAAGTGCTGGGATTACAGGTGTGAGCCCCTGTGCCTGGCTGATATTTGTTGTATTTGTAATGAACATAATATAATGTTCTCAGGAATTAGTCTCCCAGCAAATTTTTGGCTAGATTTTTCGTTGTTGACAGCCTGAGATAATGGGAGTTGGAGGGTTCTTTCCCAAAGTCTGTATATGTGCTGCTATGCCCTTAGGACAATGCCCATAGGATGTTGGCATTTTTCCTTTATTATCTCTACCACTTAGCCCCAATCTTGTTGTGTTCCCACAACCCAGTACATACTTGTTTAGCCAAGTAAAGAGATAAACTCCTTGTCTACAGTATATGAAATACTTAAGGAATAAACTATGTTCAAATAAAGGAAATGTCATGTATGTGGCCTTACCATACAATCTTGGTAGATACATACAGCTTACTTGTTGATTAGGCTCCCACCTAGTGATAGCTCTAGGTTTCACTCTAAGGTTTTGGCAACTCAAGTTTTTAATGCTATTCTTTCGGGTTTTTTACTCTGCTTTTTCTGGTTCCAGGTACACTCTTCGGTTCCTGCTTAAAGTTATTTCCTCCACAACCCTCTCTATTGCTTTTAAGTGGCTCTTTCAATGTCTGGCCATTTTCAAAACCACTCTTAAATTTTGCTTTTATTCCCCATCCCCCCACTCTGCCATCTGCTGGTCTGCTGCCTCTTAGATCATTCAACTCATTTTTTTCTCTAGAAAGCTTCTGCATTTCCTTTGCTGTAAATGTCTCTCTCTCCTTCCCTGTCATAGTTCATCTTGGCATTAATCTCTGTTTGGCTATGGCCCTCATGTTAGCAGTCTTATTTTGCACTAATTCTATGGGGCTTCTTTAAACAAAAATTGAAGGAAGAACTTTATTTGTTGTTGTTGTAATATGGAACTCTTCATGAATTTGCATGTCATCCTCGTTCAGGTGCCATGCTAATATTCTCTCTGTCTTTCCAGTTTTAGTATATGTGCTGCTGAAGTGAGCACTGTTTATTTTTATTTTTATTTTTATAATTTTTTTTTGAGACGGAGTTTTGCTCTTGTTGCCCAGGCTGGAGTGCAATGGCACAGTCTCGGCTCACTGCAGCCTCTGCCTCCCGGGTTCAAGTGATTCTCCTGCCTCAGCCTCCTGAGTAGCTGGGATTACAGGCATGCGCCACCATGCCTGGCTAATTTTTTTTGTATTTTTATTAGAGACAGGGTTTCTCCAGACTGGTCTCGAACTTCCAACCTCAGGTGATCCGCCTGCCTCGGCCTCCCAAAGTACTGGGATTACAGGCATGAGTCACCGCACCTGGCCTGTTTTTTATTTTTAACTACAGGTATGAGATACACATTTTGAAATTCTGTTGTAGATTTTAACATGGGCCTGACTTATGGCAGTTCTTGTTAATAATTTTTAGATTTGGATTAAGGGCGTTACTGTAGATATTTGGCAGCCATTTTACTATGTAAATTTAGTGTTAGGAGTAGAAAGAGCAGCTGAGGTACTTGGGTTATTTCTGTGAAATAGATTTTTTGGATCCAGTAGGAGGATCAAGCAAGGAACTTGGTAGTGAACATGAGATGGTGAGCTTGAAGTACTGGCAGGACATTCAACATATAGTTGGAAGTGAGAGTTCTTGTTTTCTTGAGATGGAGTTTTTCCCCAGTTGGACTGCAATGGCACAGTCTCGGCTCACTGATCTCTGCCCCCTGGGTTCAGGCAATTCTCCTGCCTCAGCCTTCCGAGTAGCTGGGATTATAGGTGTGTGCCACCATGACTGGCTAATTTTGTATTTTTTAGTAGAGACAGGGTTTCACCATGTTGTTCAGTCTGGTCTCAGACTCCTGACCTCACGTAATCCAACTGCCTTGGCCTACCAAAGTGCTGGGATTACAGGCATGAGCCACCTTGCCCAGCCCGAGAGTTCTTTCTAGAGCAGGCGTCCCCAAACTTTTTACACAGGGGGCCAGTTCACTGTCCCTCAGACCGTTGGAGGGCTGCCACATACTGTGCTCCTCTCACTGACCACCAGTTAAAGAGGTGCCCCTTCCTGAAGTGTGGCGGGGGGCCAGATAAATGGCCTCACGGGGCCGCATGCAGCCTGCGGGCTGTAGTTTGGGGACGCCTGTTGTAGAGTATCAATGTTGAAGAGTATAGACTTTGGGGAGTTGGTCCCATAATGATGGAAAACAGAGCTGAGAAGAGGATCAAATTATTAAGGAAGAAATACAATCAGAAGGGTAGCAGGTAGATGATAGTACCTTGGTGGGTAGGAATGGAATGGTATATCTTCATCTAGGGGGTAGGAAAAGAGACATAAAAGTACTTAGGGTACTGTTTGAGAGGTAAAGATATTGTCAACTTCATAGAATAGTGAAGAGAACATAGTTTCAGGAGAACACAGGCATATATAGGGTGACCTTTAAGACAGTGATAGGAGAGGGAAACTGATTGCAGTGGGTTAAGGAACTAATTAAGAGGTAAAGTAGGCCAGGCGCAGTGGCTCACGCCTCTAATCCCAGCACTTTGGGAGGCCACGGTGGGTGGATCACGAGGTCAAGAGATCAAGACCATCCTGGCCAACATGGTGAAACCCTATCTCTGCTAAAAATACAAAAATTCGCTGGGAATGGTGGCGCATGCTGGTAGTCCCAGCTACTTGGGACACTGAGGCAGGAGAATTGCTTAAACCTGGGAGGCAGAGGTTGCAGTGAGTCGAGATTGTGCCACTGCACTCCAGCCTGGCGACAGAGTGAGACTCTGTCTCAAACAAACAAACAAACAAAAAAGAGGTAAAGTACTTAGCACGGACTACTCTTCAGAAATTCAAAACTAAAGAGGAGGAAGTTTCTTAGTATGTGTATTCATTTTGGATGGCTGAGCATGTTTTCTTCTGAACAGAGAGAGCCAGCTAAGGAGACTCATTAGATGAAAGGGAGGTGAAAATTGATGGAGCAAGGTCTTGGAGGCAACAGGAGGGATTGGAAACATGGCCACAAGCCAGGAATAACCCTAGAAGAGAATAGAGTCTCTAAATTTTCCTAAACACTCGCTCTTTCCAAATGTTTTCCTTCACTTGGAAGTTGCTGCCTGCCGGAAGAATGCATCTTTTCTAGACTATAGCTTCCTTTGAACTGTATGTTTCTTCTCATTGCTTTTTCCTGTGTGCAGATGTCTGGGTTTAAGTCCATGTAGAGTCTTCTCTAGAAGGCAGAAAGCCTTTTTCCTAATCTTCTCTTCCTGAGTTTTTCCAGTAATATTGTAAGGCACCTTGCGTAAACAGACTGGCCCGTGGGTTCCAGCAGCCTCCATGTAGGGCTGTTCATACTTACTGAACAGGAATACTGTTGTAGCCATTCACCATTGATACCTAACAACCAGAAGGGAGCTGCCGGAGCGTTTACACTTAAGACATGTAAAATGGCAGGGACGTAGGAGACTCATGGGAGATTCATCCTCATATTGATGGCTTTTCATTCTGCAATTTTGACTAAAATTTGTTCATTTTATTTTGAACCCAGGTCGTAAAGGTATCTTCACTGGAAGCTCGGGGCTGCAGATTGTGTACCTCAGTGGGACGGAGTCCTTAAATGAGCCAGTACCAGGTTATAGTTTTAGTCCCAAGGATGTGTCTTCTCTGAGAATGATGCTGTGTACAACCTCCCAGTTTAAGGGTGTTGATATCTTGCTCACATCCCCATGGCCCAAGTATGTGGGGACCTTTGGGAATTCTTCTGTGAGTAGAGCTTGTTTAGTTGAATTTTCTAAAAGCGAATTGCATTGGCTTGAGTTGGGCCTTTTTTCTTTTCCTGTTTATATTGAGTGTTTTAGCTCTTGGGTATCTTTCATTAGAAAAAGTCTTTTGTTAAAATTTTCAGGATTCTAAAAGGTGTATCAGCTGACCAGATCAAAAGTTAATTTCATAAAAGTGTGATTCATAGATGAGACTGCTGAAATCTTAATTATAAATGAAGTTTTTATTATCTGTTTCAAATGCCCTTTTCTAAGCCTCTTAATGTTTTGTGGCTTCACTACTTTTTTTTTTTTGAGACAGTCTTACTCTGGTGCCCAGGCTGGAGTGCAGTGGTGCAATCTCGGCTCACTCCAACCTCCTCCTCCTGGGTTCAAGCGATTCTCTGGCCTCAACCTCCTGAGTAGCTGAGATTACAGGCATGTACCACCACACCTAATTTTTTTGCTATTTTTAGTAGAGATTGGGTTTCACCATGTTGGCCAGGCTGGTCTTGAACTCCTGACCTCAAGTGATCCGCCCGCCTCAGCCTCCTAAAATGCTGAAATTACAGGCATGATCCACTGCACTGGCCTAATTTTTGTATTTTTAGTAGAGAAGGGGTTGCCCAGGCTGGTCTTGAACTCCTGGGCTCAAGTGATCCACCTGCCTTGGCTTCCCAAAGTGCTGGGATTACAGGTGTGAGCCACCATGCCTGGCCAGATTTTAATGTTTTATGAGTAATCTTGAAATGGATGGTACACCAGGAGTGACAACTGTCAAGGGGAGTTAAATACTACACTTGTTGGTGGAAGTAAGCCTAAGGAAGATTTTGAAAAGATTTCTGTGTGAGGGCAGAAAGCATTGGCTGAGCTTCATTGAGGGGAAATATAAGAATGCATTTGAGGACAAATCTCCATGGATGGATTCAGGATTATCGGTGATGATCCAGAAGTGGAGCCTGTACACCACCCACTGCCAGCTTCATCACCATGTGTCCATGACCAGAAAGGCCAAGAGGATACCAGGCATTGTCAAGGAGGATGTTGAAAGGAAAACGGTCAAGGCTGTCTTCCTTTTTGACAAACCTGTCGTTGCTCTTTATGTAGAATACAAAGGGTAGTGCTGGTTAGAGCACAAGGATATAGCAAAGCTAGGGCAGATCCAGAGGGGGACTGCTGGAGTGATGAAGGCAGAGAGAAAGACACATGTGATGCTCTGTAAGGAAGGATGAGAAAATGAGGCCTTTCATTTTGCAGGGAGCTAAAAATTGATTTTGATCAAGGCTTATAAATAACCACACAGTATTTTTATGGAGGAGAAAAGTATAGTTCATCAGTCCCTAAGATGCTAGGACTGACCTCAGCTAATTCCCTGCCCTTCAGTAGAAACCTGAAGAAAACAAGCTTAAGACAAAAGGAAATTCCTGTTTTACTTACTGGAAAACAAACTTTGTTAGCTTATTTCCAAGTAATACCTTCTCTTAGAATAGAGTTCATAAATAATGTTATGGGTGAGAGATCACATAATTGGTTGTTAATAGAATCTGGGGGATATTCTGGGAACAAGAATAGCTTTGGGCAAACTTTATATTACTTAAGAAGGGTTTGGTTGTGCCCTTCCTCAAACTGCCGCTTCCTTGACAGAAGCAAAGTAAAGGGTTATGTGCTCATGTGACGAAGTCCTTGAATATTCTATGCCAGATATATTCTGTGGATCCTAGGAGCCCTGAGACCTAGCTTTTCATTTTGATTTTCTGCATTGACTATGACTGTCTGTACGTGTGAACTGCAGGTGCACTACAAAACAAGCTAGAGGCCAGGTGCGGTGGCTCACACCTGTAATCCCAACACTTCGGGAGCCCGAGGCAGGCGGATCATGAGGTCAGGAGTTTGAGACCAGCCTGGCCAACATGGTGAAACCCCATTTCTACTAAAAATACAAAAATTAGCCAAGCGTAGTGGCACATTTCTGTAATCCCAGCTACTAGGGAGGCTGAGGCAGGAGAATTGCTTGAACCTAAGAGGCAGAGGTTGCAGGGAGCTGAGATTGTGCCACTGCACTCCAGCCTGGGCAACAGAGCAAGACTAGAAGCAAGACTAGAAGCCCAGACAGAGCAAGACTAGAAGCCTAGTCTGTGGGGTTCAGAGGAAGAGCTTACTTTTCCAAAAAAGGTTTTAGTAATTTATGTTTTGGGTATTGATGTGGAGGAGTTACCTTTTAATCTCTGCCCTCCAACAGTTGTTCCTATTTCTACATTCATAATAGTTC